GAGAGAGAGAGAGAGAGAGAGAGAGAGAGAGTTAAAAGTGTTGATAGATCAATTAGCTGAAATATGACTTCTAGCTAGCTATTCCCAGAAACAGGTCCTTCCTTATACGAGTACTTTTAGGAAAATTCGTGTAAAATGTCTGTTCTGAAGATACCATATATTCCATGGTCAGATGAGGACCACCTGTCAAATTCATTGTATATTCGTACGATAATACCAAAGTAGGATAACCTGCCACATTAATTCTTCTCGTGTGCTTTCCTGCTGGCTATTTTAATATCAAGGTTTTCTTTGCGTGGCTCTCATAGACTTCAGCGACAGAGAGGCTAAGAGTCGAAACGATATTAACCTGTTACAAGTTAAAGTAAAGTATAGTATTTCTTGTCTTCAACTTCCCTGTATCTTAAACTATGTCATACAGAGGGCTTCACATCTTTAAGTCTAATTTTAAATGTCATTTATTATTAGATCTTCTCCAATTTCTGTATAAAACGAGTCCGGCAGCCAAAACTACTCGTGACAGTGTGCTGATGGATGTATTTGTTATCAAAGCATCGACACAAAGTAATTGATTCATACATTTTGTATATTGTGGAACCTATGTGAAAAGATGTTGGTTTGGTTTTTCTTTGATGACAGAGGCTCCGCCCTGATGGACGACAATGTCATGAAGACATACACAACTCCGCCCACCGAGCCCCGCCACTATGTGCAGTACGACCAAGGTAAGGGAAATAATATTTATTAGAGATATCATTTTGCATTTGACCATTTATGTGGTTGAATTTCTAAAAAACGAATGTGTTTTTCCTTTTCTATTTAGACAATTGAATGACAAACCTATGCTTGAGGTTTTAGCTCTATAGTTTTATTAAAGAGGAACACATCGATGCAACACAGATGAAATAAAGTGCTTGGAAAGAGTGAGAAAGGCAGACAGAAATGTAAATCCCACCAGTAGCGTCCTCCAGTCCCCAGCTGGGCGCGCACGCTGGTGCATGTGTGTGTATGGGAGGGGGGGGGGGCTTGAAGTTGGATGGATCATAAAAGGATCGATAGATGGATGAATGAATGGATGGATCGGTGAGTTGAAGGAGGAATGGGTGATGGATGGATAGGTATGTATACCTGATATGTTGAGGTATAAGGAAAAAACCCCGGCTAGAGTAGGCCACACTGTCTGGCCTGGCAGGCCGGGTTGTGGCACAGAGGCAGCCTCTTGATCACACTTGACCTCCACCTTGTCCACAGGCGAGGACCGCTGGCTATGTACACTACTGCTACAACAAGGCTACCGGGTGGAGTATTGCGCCGCCTCTGACTCGTTCACATACGCCCCTGAAGGCTTTCAGGAGTTCTTCAATCAACGTCGCCGCTGGACACCCTCAACCATAGCCAATATCCTTGACCTGTTACAGGTAGGACAGAAGGATTTTTCGAAGTTCTTTATGATTTATCGATGAAATAGATCGACCCAGTCTTCTTTTTGAAATTCAACCGTAGCCAGTATCCTTGACCTGCGCCATGTGGCACATAATTCGATTGATTTGTCTTGTTTGACTTATCAATGAAATACATTGGCCAGACTTGCTCTTTTTGTACGTCGATTTGAATTTTTTAAACATTCTAACATGAAATGGATACCTTTTTTAAAAAGTTCTGCTTGATTTACCAATGAACTATACTGAAAACATTTGCTTTATTTTGTCAATCAATTTGAAATTCTTTTCATTCTAACATTATTAACCTAGATTGTCTCATCTTAGCGTTTAATAGTCACATTCACAGCACAGTGGGATTTATGTAAGCGACAGTGGAATAATGTATGAAAATAAGAAAAGATACTGGAATTGAAGATTGGAAATCTTTCTTCTCTATTCGAAACCATAACTCCTTCTTGTATCACTTTTCTTTTTTGCGAATATTTTTCTTTCTAATACTGTTGTTTCTGTTGTCTTTGCAGGATTGGAGATCGACCACAAAAAACAACCAAGACATCACAATACTATACATCTTTTACCAGCTCTTCCTGTTTGTGTCAAGTAAGAGTTCCAGAGTCCAACTTTTGTCTCTTGAATAAAAATACGTAAATAACCCCCCCTCCCCAATTATACAATAAAACAACCCAAAACAACGTCTCCACCAAAGAGCATGGAAAGCAGCAACCGCACAAGGATATTATGAAACTTAGTTCCTCGTTTCAAAACTGGGATTACAATGAAGCTTGCAAAGTCAGAAAAATATAAAAGTGGTAACAAGGAAAGAGAAAGAGAGGAGGGTCTGAACCAAAAAGAGATGGTATACTGGCTGGACAGGTTGAGGCTATAGCCCAAGACAGAAGTAGATGGAGAGTTCTTGTTGGTGGCCTATACTCCAGCATGGGGTGAGAAGGGCTAATGATAACAAAGATTGTGAAATCCAAGCAACAATAACAACTGATTGTGGTCAGGGGGACAATGATAATGATGAATGATATGATAATGTTGATAACAATGATGTTCATGCTTCTCCTGTTTCAGTTGGTGATACCATTTTTAACAAAGCCACAATGTTGGGAAGGGAAGGGGAAAGGGATTGAACATTACCACCCCACCCCCTAACACACAAATCAACAAAACAAGAAATGAAACCTTTAGAGATTTCGAAATTTACCTAGAGCTATGTGTTAGTTTTACGATTTTGCTAAGTGGACGTAATTTACTTTGTTTATTAAACTGTTTTTCTTTTAATTCCCATTCAGGTATCATCACCCCTGGAACAATCTTCCTTCTGATTCTGAGCGCCATCTCCTCTGCATATCCCGACATCCCTCTGTACTCCTCGCTGCTGATCAACTTGCTACCTGTGGCATTGTTTGTTGTCTTATGCTTCAAGACCTCCTCGGAAACTCAAGTGAGTCAGCGCGCTCTCGGGGGTGGAATGGGGGGGGGGGGGGTTGTGGTGGGAGTTCAAAGCCCTTTTAATCACTCTAAAACTTTTTTCTAAAAAAGTAATATATTTAGGGATTAAATAGCCTCAAGTCAAGAAGCTTTAATAACTCTCCAAACACCTAATCCCATCAGTGATTCAAACCGACGTCATATGCATTTGAGGGCTATGTGTGTGGTCCTTACTGACCTTACTGTCACTCCCACCTCTAGGGAACATGCAACTTATTTAGAATACACTGCGGGGCGAATTGAGAATCCTATGACTTTACAGTACTCTCAAGTAAAGGCTACTTTGTTACAAGATTTGCTTTGGGTCAATTTCTATAGTCTACACAATGATTCTACCTTCTATTTCTTCTGCCATTTCTTCTTATCAATGAAACAAACGCCCACTTTTCAAAACCATACAATCATTTCCACAAGGAACTGTAACTCATACAAAAGTAACAAATGCTCCCATCCTTACTTCTTTCAGCGTCCATTTACAAGGACGCTGTATTCTATTCAACCTGGTTTGGTCCTGATAAACACGTTAGAACCAGCCCATTCCTAAACGATGTTTACTGTTTCGATAGGGTCAAATCCTTTTCAAACACCCCCCCCCCCAAACCCCACACTAACCGCGTGCCTATTCCTGTTTCTTTTTTGTTTTAGCTCGCCTACGCCGGCGTGGTATCCATAGTGTACACGATGTTGATGATGCTGGTGCTGGTGGGCCTGATCCGACAGGCAGCCATGTACGGCTTCTGCTCTGTCTCCACCATCTTCCTCGTCGTCGTCATCTCCATCTTCGTCACCACGGCTCTTCTACACCCCATGGAACTCACCTGCCTCTTCCACGGGTTCCTGTACTTTCTCTGGTGAGTCCAAGCTTATGTTTAAAGCAAAGTGGTTAAGCAGGTAGACATGGCCATACCTGTTGACAGATTTCCACTGGCTCTTGAAGCACTATCAAAAGTGTTTTTGCCGGAATTCAACCAGATGCTAAACCATCGAAGCAGTGAAATCTTCAACTTTACAGATTGCTGCTATTTTTAGTCGTTAATTTTTATTAACGTTTCATAGTACCCGGTAAAAGACTATTGGATCAGTCTTCAATCGTTTCGCTATAACAGGTATTATATGATCTAAACCATCCTAACCATAATAACGACAATACGTATACATGTTATTATTTTCTGAAAAGAAAGCAAACTAAGAGCCAAGAAAAAAATCAACATCAGTACACCTGTGTTTGAATTTTGGTATTGGCGTACAGTAATGTTGGTGCAATTATTTAAAAACGTTTGTGTAAGTGCTTTAGCAACACAGTGGAATAAGTGTAAAGATAATAATGATTGCAAAGTCTGAATGAACGTCCCTCTCTCTTTCTCTCTTTCTTTCTGTCTCTGTCTCTTTGTCTCTGTCTCTGTCTCTCTCTGTCTCTGTCTCTCTACTCTGTGTGTCTCCCTCTGTCTCTCTGCATGTGTGTGTGTGTGTGTCTGAATGTGTGTATGCCTGCATGTGTGTGCATGTTTGTGTGAGAGAGAAAGAAAGAGCGAGAGAGAGAAGAAGTGAGAGAGAGAGAAAAGGAGAAAGAGAGAAAGAGAGTTAGAGAGAGAGAGAGAGAGAGAGAGAGAGAGAGAGAGAGAGAGAGAAAGAGAGAGAGACAGAGACAGAGACAGAGACAGAGACAGAGACAGAGACAGACAGAGACAGAGAGACAGAGAGAGCACACGTCTTTGGAGTGAAATTTTAGTGGTTTTTACTTTCTAATTCTTTCTACCGTTTGCCACCCACCCCACACCCTTCCCTCAACCACACTCCGTCCCTGCAGTATCCCCTCTATGTCCATGATGCTGATGATCTACTCCCTGGCCAACCTGCATGTTGTCTCCTGGGGGACCAGAGAGGCCAAACCGGCAGCGGGAGCTGCTCAGGCACAGGTCAGATTCTTAGTTTAGATTTAGTAAGAGTTTTACGACACTTGCAACACAACGAGGCCATATAAGTGCCGAAGATTAGAGGAGTTACAAGAGTTACAAAAACAAAAAAGAAGGAGGAGAGATTAGGACGATAGATGTTTGATAGGAAAGAAGGAGCAAACCACACCAGAGCATCCGTCAACCACCCACGGTCAGATTCTGAGTATTGGAATTAAATGTTTTGCGCCCCTTTCAACACTGTATTGCCATAATTTTATGAAACAGGGACTCTGAATCCAAGTCCGCCTTAAATAGGACAGAGAAATGAAGGCGGTGATCCTTGAGAACTCAAGTTAAAGAACTAAAGTGACCTCTTTTTTAAAATTCGAACCTTGTTCATTCGCAGCATAACAGTGCTCTTTCTGTAGTTCTTAAATTTATTATAATA